TCCCCACTTCCTTTTATCCCAGCCCCAGATACTGTGGCTCACAGGGACTTCTCCTTCCCACTGTTCATCTCAGCTTCTTGGTTATGCCTTTTCCTTTCCTTGCAGTGTGGTTGTTGAACAGTGCTAGCCATCCCTGAATGTGGTGCCCCAGGGCCTCAGTCACTTTGCTTGTCCTTTCTAGGTGACAGCCGAGAAAGACTGAATAGGATATCAGAGACTCTCGCATGGGTGAAGTACATGAAGGGGAAACATCGAGGGGCATTTAGAGAGATGCACAAGCCCTCAGGCCTGGATCCTAAGGCAGATGTAGTGGAAAGAGAACCTGATTGTTGGCTTGGCTCTAGGACCCTTGAATGTCAGTGATGAGCTAAGGAATAAACATAGTTCTGATAATTATTTATACTGTAGATTAGTTAACGATCAAGGGAAAACAGTCAATATTTGTTGCTACTTAAATACCAAAGAAATAACAAAAAGTGGAGAAAACTAAAAACTAGGTTGGTTCTATAGACAGTATTCTATAGCCGTTTATGAATATTTCATATTGCTTGTTACCCTGCTTATTCATGTTACATGGATTTATTCATCGCCTGCTATATATTCAGCTGTGTGTGTGCGTGTGTATACACGTGTATAGAAATGGACGGGAAAATCATTATAGACAAAATCTTTGTCTCAAGAACTGAGTATCTTGTGAAGAAGATTAAATATATATACAAATAGCATCAACATAAGATAAAAAAACCACAAGCATTAAAAACAGATAAGAGACTTTGCAGGTAACACAGAAAGTGCACAAATCAAGGACAAGTTATGAGTCCTCTTCCGCAGAGAGACCGTGAGGTGTGGCAGGAAGCAGTGGGGCCGGGCTCAGGGATTTGCTTAGCCACGCACCTGATGTCTGTGACCCAAATGAGTGTACAAAGCCCCTTTCAGCTCTGTGGCTGCCATGTGGGCAGGGTCAGAAATGCCTGGAGGAGGACACTCTGGCCTGAGCCTATAGTAGTGCACCTACTTGCCTTTAATTAGTACCAGATGCACGCTGTAGGTTTTCATTTCAGTTCTAAACTCTTCTTGCGTGCCCACCTGTCTCTTGGTGATGTCGTTTGATCATCTGGGTTCTATCACGCAGACATCAGAGAGAACATTAGTCACAAGATGGCCAACAGGGGATAGATGGATCAGTATAAATATGCCCCACTCCTCTTAAGACCACTCGCACCCAGATGTGAAGTGCATTCACCTTGCTTTCAGGAAGTAGGCCCCTCTGTTGGGTCTAGAGGGGTCTGCACTAAGTACAGATAGTTCCTCTATTTTCTGTATTTCCATTGTGCTAAAGTAAAATGGAAAATAAGGTCATCACTTCTCAACACCCACATTCTCATAACTATGACACTGTTTGACCTTTGATCAGAGAGAACAAGAGAGAGCTCTATTCCTGGTTGCTTTAGTTGGATAAGGCACAGTTGCTGGAAGTCTGCAGTTTTCTTGCAGAAATTCACAGGATTCCATAAATGCTTGTATCTTGCTCCTAAGCATCCCTATGAAACCAGTGGGCTTTGAAAAATAGGTGTGTGGCTTTCACCCTAAGCCTGCGGGTCCAGATGTCTTCTGGAAGAAGAAAAGGTATTATTTGGGACAAAAAGAGAAATTATTTTGAACAAAGACATCAGAAACTTTTTTCTCAGTAGAAAAAAAAAGCCCTCATTGAGGTGGCCAGGGCAGAGAAGCAGAAATGCTCTCAATAGAGCTCAACAGCCGGGTTCTCAGCTTATGCCGAGGGCTTCATGTCAGTGACTAGGAGCTCAAGCAGGTATGTTGCTAGAAGATTCTCTCACCCCTTCACCCCTTTCCCTCAACACATATGGAAACCGTTATCAAACTACTGTCCCTAAAGCAAATGAAATTTGTTCAATAGACATTTATTCAGTACCTGGATTTAAGGTATGAGAAAAAAGTAAAATTAAGCTGATTACTTTACTCTCTCTCTCTCTAAAATCCTCTCTATAAGGAGATAATCATTGTTTCCTGCTTCCCCCATGTGCATTCCCTTACTGTGAAGTGAATCATGGAAAACTGCTTTGTTCAGAAAATCTTTGGATTAAGAAATAGAGAGGAGGAGAGAAGGTAATAAAAATACAGACTGCACAGATACCCTGAGCCCAACCCCAGGTCATTGCCCCATGTCCCTTAGCTGAACCCACCCTTGGGTTCTTGCCAATTTTCATTTCTCTGTTATTTAAAAAAAATTTTTTCACTAGTCAGAAATTCATTCTAGCTAAAAAGTATTTCCCCATGGACTAGCCAGTAGTGTGGTAGTTAAGGCAGCTGGATCCCACATGACCAACGACATGGTTCAAGTGCTGGACCCTGCACCTTAAGAAACACATTGGGCCATGTGCATGCATGCCCAAAATTCTGAGAGGAGAATTCAGGAGAAGGGACTGTGGCATGGCCACTCCCCCCTCGGGGTGTTTTCTCACTTTCCCTCTCTGTCCCTCTCTGGCAAGTACATATAGCAAATTTAAAAATTAAAAATACTTTTTAAAGTCCCCCTTTAAAATATAAGTATCGTTAGGGACCAGCAGATGGTGTAATGGTTATATCACTGGACTGTCACGAAGTCGACCGCATTTCAAGTCCTGGACCTGGCGGCTTCAAACTCATGCTGAGCACACCTGCGTGTGTGTATGCCCAAAATCCTGAGATCCTGAGAGGAGAATGGAGGAGAAAGGATAGCAGCATGGCCAATGTCCTGGGGGTAATTTCTCACTTTCTACCTCTCTGTTTCTCTCAGTCCCCCCAGTAAGTGCACACTCCCAATAGCAAAAATCTCTCTAAAAAATATTAATAAATAAATATCTTTAAAATGCAAATATTTTACAAACAAAAGTATGCACTGCCACTTTTATTAATTTGTTCTTTTAGCCATCAAATATTATTTAAGTTTCTACTATGGACACATTTTAGAGTTTACATTTAAAATAATTCCAAAGAGGGGCCAGGAGGTGACATGGTGGTTAAGGTGCTGGACTCCCACATGGTCAACTGTGGTTCAAGTCTCAGACATGATAACTTGAAAATCACACCAGACACATGTGCATGCATGTCTACAGTCCTGAAAGAACAATGGAGATAGGATTGTGGCATGGCCATCCCCCTCGGGAGGGAATGGTTTCTCACTTTCCCTTTCTCTGTCTCTGGTGAGTGCACAGTCCCTGTGGCAAAATTCTAAAAAAGAAAAGTAAAATCCAGTAGTAATAGCAGTAGTAATAACATAACAATGATAGCTAACATTTACTGGTACTTACTTTATGCCAGAGTAATTTGTCTTCATCATTTTTTTTAATTTGCACAGCAACTCTTTGAGGTAAGTTACAGTTAATATTGCCACTCACTATGCAAGAAATGGAGAGATGCAGTAATTTGCCTCAAGTCACATTGCTGGAAAAGTGGGGCAGAACTGGGTAGAACCCATACCAGTTTAGAGCAAAAATTCTAACCAATAAACAGAGATTTATACATGTATACATCATATACATGCAGCTGCCGAATTTAGGGATTAAGAGTTTACGCTGAAGCCCTTCCTCCAGCTGTCCAAGTCCAGATCTCACCATTTCTTGACAGCTCCATCATAGACACTGCTTCTCCACAAGGCCCTACAGTGAGCAGTAAATGCAGAGAAAGCTCTTGTTTTTTCTAGTGATCTCTACAGCCCACGGAGGAGTTAGTTGGCAGAGGATCCTGGATTGAGACAGTGAGGTGACTGCCTAGGAAATCTGTGAGATGGAGCTCAGGTGCCCTTTTTTAGTGCTCAGTCCCCAAGAACAGAAGATGGTGTTATAGAGCAGGGGTCTCCTGTCCCTGAGCCACAGAATGGTATCAGTCTGTGGCCTTTTAGGAACCAACCCGCACAGCAGAGGTGAGCAGCAGGTGCGCGAGGGGAGCCTCATCTGTATCCACAGTCGCACCACACCAGGTCTCTGGTCTTGTGTAATTACTTTATTATATATTACAATGTAATAATAATATAAAGTAGAGGATGAATGTAATGCTCCCCCTCCCATGAGATCAGTGGCATTAGATTCTCATGGGAGCATGATTCCCATTGTGAACTGTATGCGTGAGGGATCTAGGTTGCACACTCCTTGTGAGAATCTAATGCCTGATGATCTATTAGGTTGTTGGAAAAGTCATGATACATTTTTTGCATGGAAAAACACAGCCTAACTTTCCCAACCTATGAGGAGCTATTTCTTTCCTTTTTCTCTTCTCTTTTTTTTTTTTTTTTTTTTTTTTTTTTCTATCTGGGGACCTTGTCGTCTTTTTTTTTTTTTTTTTCCTGTAGGGCACATGTGCTTGCTAGAGACACAAAGAGAGACAAAAAGTGAGACAACACCTCCCATAAGGGATGGCCACATCACAGTCACTTCTCCTTTCTCTTCTCAGGATTTTGGGCACACATGCTTATGCTCCTGGTGTGAGTTACAAGCCTCAGGTTTGGAACTTAAACCATGGTTGGCCACATGGTTGGGAGTTCAGTGCCTCGACCACTACACCACCTGCTAGTTCCCCAGTGATCCAATAGATAGAGCTGAGGTGTGAGATGGTGATGCCACGGTGAGAGCAACTGCACATACTGCATTGTAGTGAATTGTGTAATTACTTTATTATATATTACAATGTAATAATAATATAAAGTACAGAATGAGTGTAATGCTCATGAATCATCCCCAAACCAGTCTCCTTCGCACATCTGTGGAAAAAATTGTCTTCCACAAAACCTGTCCTTGGTGCCAAGCACATTGAAGACCGTGCTTTTGAGGACTAAGGAAGGCAGCCTCAGAGAAGATGGTCAGAGCCTAGCTCCTACTGAGGCAGCCAGCATCGCAGACACGAGTGTGGGGGATCTTCTTCCCTGACTTTGTATGAACCTTCTCAAGTTTGAAGCTGGGAAATTGGGGCCCGTTACTAAAGTTACGCTTCTCTTCCCTCTGCAGGCATGAATGCTTTACAGTTACAGAATCTGGCAACGTTGGCTGCTGCTGCAGCTGCAGCCCAGACCTCAGCCACCAGCACCAATGCAAACCCTCTCTCCACCACGAGCAGTGCCCTGGGAGCCCTCACGAGTCCCGGTGAGTGCAGAGTTTGCTCTTCTCTTACAGATAACACAGCAGGAGCCATTGCAGGTCCCTGCAAACCCAGGTGTGGAAGGCAAGCCTAGCCTTCCAACACAAAGTTAGGAGACTGGCGCTAGGCTCTGAGCTATTAATGATACTTTTAAAAGAACAAAATTTGAGTGTGTGTGTGTGTGTGTGTGTGTGTTATTTTCCAAAGATAAAATGAAAACAAAAAGTCTCTTCGTTCTGCCTTTTTGTCTTGTCCTTTCTTTTGACAAAAGCAATTTAATAATTCTCTGTGAAATTTCAAAATCCCTAATTGTTCCAATGTTATATTTCACACCAGTCCTGTCTTTCACATTGGGTTTTTAAATCCACAGTCTGGCAAGGAATATCTTTGCTGTTCATTTATGGTCAGATTCTGGGCTATGTGATTTAAAAGCCTTTTCCCTTAGAAATGTTGTTGCCTTATTCAAAAGCAGATGCCATTTTTCTTTTAATACGAGCCAGATATAATGTGGTTGCTTAGATACCATGTTTTGGGTTTTTTTTGTTGTTGTTGTTGCTTTTTGTTTTGTTTTTTAATAAATGCCAGAATGTTTCACTGGCTTTTTTTTTTCCTCTGAATTTTTCAGACCTTGATAGCTGATCTCACCTCCTTCTCTTACATGAAGGAAATGGCCTCGACAATCTCTAATCTCCCTTTGAACTTTGAAAATTCCAGGACCCTCTACCAGCTGTGCCTAAAAGATTAGCTAAGTGTTGACTAAAATTCACTGTAATACTGCAGGGTTTTCTTTCAGAGAAATGCAAAATGAAAGCTATAGCATACTACAAGCCAGCTTTCTTGGAGCTTGTGGCTTCTGAGAGATAAGATGTATGCCCCCGGAGGCTGCAGAACCCACAAGAGTAGTCACCCTCGGTCTCTACAAAACATGGAGCAACACATTTTACTCTGAGTACAGTTTTGAGAGAGAAATCCAAGAGATGTTTAGCCGAAGCTGGTAGATTTATCCCTGCATGTGCTGAAATCTCATGGCAGCAGTGCATGGGTGTGTTGACTTCATTCTTTAAAAGGTCTGCAAATGATGATCATTACTTCCTGTGGGCCTTATTTTATGCAATATGTAGTATTCATCAAAACTCAATTTCAAGGGGTCAGATGGCACGGTGGTGAAACCCGATGATCTGTGAGGCTGACCCACATGGGAAAGTCCTCAGTACACATCCAGAGGCTTCCCTAAACGCTTCAGGTGCATACAGATCCATGACCTGGGCTAGCTGCAGTCAGGTGAATTGTGACGTGATTCCCTGCTGGGAGCATTGGTCTCTTTTTCTGTCTCATTTATGGAAGAAAATCAACTTTCAGTCACTCTCTCATTTAATTAAGTTACAGCTTTAATGCAATATATAAGCTGATTATTTCAATAAATTCTCTAATAACCCCTTTGAAAAATAAGCATTGACATGATAAATTTTCCTTTTATTAAAATAACAGCGATTTTTGTTAAAAAGAAATTAAAATTTTCATCTTTAATTTGTTAGTTTTGTAAATTAGATTCAAAGGTAATTTTTTCCCTTAGATATTGCTTTTGTGTTTTGCTATAGGGACATGCATTCACAGAGACAGAGAGACAGAGAGAGAAGGAAAGTGAGAAATTACCCCCCAGAGGGGATGGCCACACTGTAACCCCCTTCCTTCCATTCTCCTCTTGGAATTTTGGGCGTGGAGACTGGCATGAGTTTCAAGCTGCTGGGTCCACCACTTTAACCATGCTGGCAGCCATGTGGAATCCAGTGCCTTAGTCACTATGCCACCTGCTGGCCCGAAAAGTAGTTTCTTATACACAGTTTTTCTTCTCCCCTCTGAGAACTATGTAATATGATTACATGAAATAATAGAGTATTATACATGCATTTTACTGTATTTTAGTCAGTCGAAGACTCTTTAGTTTAAGAAGCCAAGTGCAAAAGTAGATATACGCTGATCCATGCAGATAATGTAATCAGTAAGCATTATCTATTAAGTGCCTGCATAGTACTAGGCTCTGTCCTAGTGCTGGAAATACAGGCCTGAACAGAGCAGGCTCACTGCCAGGTCTATCAGTCTGTCAGGGCATTCAGACAGTAAGCCAGCGAGTACAGGATGGGTATGTGATAGACAGGGCTGCAGGAGTAATCGAACAGAGTCAGTTGGAGATGGTGAAGGGGATTTAAGGGACCACCCCTTCTCTCAAAGGTGACATTTGAGCAGAAACTTGAGTTAAGTGAAGGGGGCCATATAGAATGTTCCAGCAGCATAAAGGCTGTGAGGCAGGAAGAGTGTGGCATGATGGCAGACTACAAGGAAGCCATGTTGCTGGGCAGAGGGAGAGGTGAGAAGTGAGAGAGAAGGTCCACATGGGTGAACCTGTATAGAGTCCATCCAATTTGGTGATCACGGATTTGTTGTAATCTTTTTAAAATGTGGGATATTCAAACAACCTAGGAGGATGGCCAGAGTGTGTGCTTAAAGGAGTTCCAAACATGTTTGATCATTTTCAGTTTTTTTCTTGAGACTACAGAGAAAGAGAAAATGTGCTTGAAGATGTAGCTTCCTTCTTTCTGCTCTAGTCAAAAACCACAGCTAGCAAACATCGTTCCCTTTACTCTTATAGGCGTTCTGCCCTTTAGTAAATTCTGCTGAAGTATCACTGAGAGTAACTTTTCTCTTCTCTATTGAGAAATTCTTTGCATGATAGCTAAAAGTATTTCATTAGAATCCTGAAGTGTTGCAGCAGACATTATTTAAATCTACATTTCATATTCTTTCGTATTCTGTAATCTATATTCTTCTTAAGTATAACTCTAAAATCTGGTGTTTAAATTAAGATAAATTATTTGTCTAACTTCCCTTAGAGACTTTTTCCAAAGTCACAGAAAATGTGATTAGTGGAACCAGCAGATGGTGTGGAGGTCAAAGTGGCTGTGCAGTTCAAGTCCCAGACACAGCAGCTTGAGAAACACATTGGGCACATACAAAAATCCCAAGAGGAGAATAGAGAGGAAGGGTGTATGGTGTGGTCAGCCCTCTTGGAGGGTGCTTTGTCGCTTTCTCTCTCTTTCTGTCTCTGTTTCCAGCAAGTGCCCCGTAGTGTAGGTGTGTGTAAGCATGCACGCGTGCATGTGCACGTGCGTGTGCATGCGCGCACACACACAAACACACACAGAGTGATTAGTACAAGTCATGACCCTCTATGTCATCAGAGCAATTTCCTATAAAACAAGAGGGGTTGAAAGCCATTTCCAAGGCCAATGCCATTATTTTATTTTATTAATTTTTTTCAGAGATTTTTGCTGTAGGGTATGTGCTCTCACCAGAGACACAAAGACAGGAAGACAGAAAGTGAGATATCACCCTCAACCCCCTGGGGAATGGCCACACTGCAGTCTCCCTTCTCCTCCATTCTCCTCTTGGATTTTGGGCACGCAAGCACACGTGCCTTGAGTGAGTTTTAAGCTGCTGGGTCCAGGACTCAAATTGTGGTCAACTACGTGGGAGTCCAATGATGTAACCACTACTTCATCTGCTGGTCTTGCCATTATTTATATTTAAAATACTAATAAGCAGCTTACAGTTTGCACCATGAACAAATCCAGTCACACTGTGAACGACATAGATACCTCATCCCATTGCTTCTACACAGGCCTTGGGTTTGCTCTGCTTTTAAATAGGCCTTTTAAGCTTCAGACAAATTCGTCTAGAAAGGAAAGGGACAATTCAATCCCCTGAACTATTAATTTTTTTTAATAATTGTAAATTTATCATTTCAATTTTGCATACCCAGGAAAAGTCTCCCTACAGCATTATTATAAATGATTTTAAACAGTCTTGGCTTTAAAACATGAAAGATTAAGCTTTAATTTTTGTTAAAAAAAAAAAAGTCCCTCAGGCAATAAATAGGTTCCTTTGTCTCATGGCCTTGAAATAAAAATTAAAATAGTTTAAATTGCCCATGGTTAGAATAAGTGTTTTATGCAATTATCAGATGGTAGTGAATAAAATTAGAAATTAAATCATGAAAGAATAAAAACCAGGTAAGTGCATATTATGCCTTTTATGAGTTTCTCATGGGTCTTTTGAAGCCTAATTTAATTGTGTTTCTTGTCTTTTATTTTGATATGATAATTTTTCCTTTGTTTACTTCACTCTCCTATTTAGTTAATTAATTCTTGGGTCATCTCTTCTTAGCCAGTTCTGAACCTGTTCTAGAGGAACCTGTGTCCTTGTGTTTGTATAAAGAGGCAAATTGTCTGTAAGGCCTGCAACCAGGTATCAGAGAGAGATATTTGACTTCCACCTGCCCGTAGATGCGTTGTGCTTGGTAATTCTGAGAGCTCGGGAGAAGTGCTACCGTTACCACATGTGAACATTTCTTTGGCATTTTCTGTCTAAAACGTACTATTGCATTCGTGCACCACATTATTCCACTGACCTTCTTCTATTTCCTTTTTTTCAAAGAAAAGGGTGTTTTAAAATTCTCCAAATGCTTCTGTAAGTGCAGACTCAGTCAAGTGCACACTTCAGAATAATAGATAATTTCTTTCAATACTGTAAGGCATTTTAAAATGCTAGGAAGCATTTTTTCCATTCCCACCACTGGCTTTTCAGAGTTGTCTAGGCAATATTTTTATTTTACTTTAAATTCTCTAAATACTTTCAATTCTAGGCACTGTTTTCCCTCATCTTCAAGGTGCTCCCTGCTTCCTTGAAGCCTGTGACACAGAGTTCCAAGGAGCTGGCGCAGCTTCCTTTGGACTAGCTGCGGTTACCAGAGAGGGAAGAGGCTTACACATGATTCGGACCTTTCCTGCCCTCCTCCCACAGTCGTGATGGAGGAGTGCTTACTCTCTGTGTTGCACACCTGTCACCAGAGCAGCTGAGTGGGCCATGGGAAATAAGAATTGACCCTCAGCGTTTTCCCCATAGCCTTTTCTTTTTTAGAGGGCTTTATCACTACCCTCTGTGTGTCTGC